TACTACTATGTAGTCTAAGGCATTAGCTTCTATAAGTATTAGTAGTTTAAAGTTAAAGTAGTAAAGTATTAAAGCTTTAGTAAAAGCTTTCTTTAGCTAGTTAAAGGACTATTAGTAATTTAAGTTAAAGTTAAATTAAATTTTTTTTTTAGTAAGTGTAATTATAAAGCTTACTTACTATAAAAAGTTATTAATAAATTATTAGTAGAAGTTAGTAAATTTTATAAAAGCTTAAACATCTTTTACATTCTTTAAGTATTACTAATCTAGCATAGTCTAAACCTTAATAGGGTCTATTTAGATGCTATCTATAAAGATTATATATTTTAAATATGTAACCTTTAATTAGTAAAACTTGCATTTATCTATGTTAAGTTGCAAACCTGCTTCTTTTATAGCCTTTAGCACTAAGCGTATATGCTATTTATGCTCTAAAAGGCTATTACTGTAGATTAAAATGTTGTTAATATACATAGTGTAAAACACATCTAAGTAGAGTTAGAGTAAGTTGTTTATAAAATGTTAAAAAGTACTAGGCGTGTTAGCTAAGCTAAAGAGCATTACTAGGTACTTAAATAGTTTATATTAGGTCTAAAACACTATTAGCTACTTATTACCTTTTACTATTTTTAGCTTATTAAAAGTAGCAATAATATCTAACTTTATAAAATACTTTACTTTACTTAGTTAGCTTAAAGTTTTTTATAAAAAAAAATTAAGTATTAGTTTTTAATAATAATAGTATTTAGTCTTTAGTAGTTAACATAAAATTAAAGCTTACCTCTAAGTTTCTTTATAAATAGTATAAGTAACACTACTAGTAAAAAGCTAGCTTAAATAAACTTTTTTTTTAAGTTTTTATTAAAGTATTTTTAAAGCACTTTTAATTTATTTAGTAACATCTTATATAGTAGCCTATAACTAGGTTATTTACTAGGCTTAAAAGTTATCTAGTAATTATATAAACATTATATTAAAAGCTTATTAAACTTATCTTAAAAAAAAATATGTAATAAGTTATAGTAGTCTTAAAGGACTATTATTTTTAAGTTAGTGTGTTTTTAAGAAGCTAAAGCTTAGTCTATATTAGAAATTATAACTACATAGATTTTATAATCTAGTTATTAAGCTAAAGTTATAAATAAAGTAAGTTCTATATAGTAAATGTCTATCTACTATTTAAGTCTTAGTTTATGTTTAAATTAAGTAAGTAAAAATTTTTTAAAGGCTTTTTTTTTTTAAGTTTAAGTAGTTATTAAATTATTTTATATAGCTTATTTTAGTAAAAGGCCTAGCTTATTAGCCTTACTTAGGTAGTTCTTTTTTAAGTTATTAAAAAGTAAGTCTAAAAACCTTTTATATTAAGTGCTACTTAGGTGTTGTTTAGGTGTAAGTGTAAGCATATATCTTAGCATTAAGAAAAGTTAAAGTTTAAAACTTACTCTTAGTAATTAAAAGCAACTTTATACTAATACAGCTATAGTTATTTTAGAATTAAGTTATAACATTCTATATTTATTACATAGAGCTTAATCTGCTTCTTATAGTGTTAGTAAGTAATTAAAATAGTTATAGTATAAAAAATAAAACCTTTTTTAAGTTATTTTCTATTAAATCTAGTTAAGTAAATTATTTAAGTAAGTAGTGTTAATTAAAGATTTAGTTTACATGCTAGTTTTTTATTAATATAACCTATGCTATTTACTTTTAAGTTAATAAAAGCTTATATTAAGGCTAATATAGTTTTTTATTATAAATATATAAAAATATTAACTTAGTACTTCTAGTTATTAGTAGAGGACTTAGCTTATAAGTTAGTAAAGATCTAGTATTAAATTAGTTCTAGAGAGTAACTTAGCCCTAGAACAAGCCTTTTTATAGGCTTTTACTACTATAGCTGCAGCTATGTTAAAAGTAGTAAAGAGGATTAAAGCTTAAATATAAGTTAAAGCCTTTATAAAAATAAAATTAGAATAGTAAAAATTTTTAATAAATGCTAGCAGCGCTACTTACATAGACTTAAAAAAAAAGAATAAAGTAGTTTTAAAAAATATAACTATGCTTACTACACTTAAAGTATTAACTTTTTTTTTTATAATTTTTACACTTTCTAAAACTAACTAAAGCATAATTTAAATTAATTTTTATTATATTAAAGTTTTTATTTGCAACTACGCTAGTTTAGAGGCGTATTAGGGCTTGTACAGGGAGGAACCTTATGTTATTATTATAGGTAGTAATTAAGTTTACATATGTGTTAAGGTTATTTAGAAGGGGTTCTTCTACTATAGCGCGTTACAGTTTAGTTAAGAGGGAGTTATATAAGGCTGTAATTAGACCTATCTTATTTAGGCCTATATTAAATATAAGTTAGTAAAACTTAGTAAAGTGTAAAGTAAAGCTTTTTTTTTTTATTATAAAGTGTTTAGGTAACTTAAAGCTATTAACTTTTTATTTAAGTCTTTATAAGTTACTTATAAGAACACTATAAATTAATTTAAGTTAATAATATTTTTATTTATTAGTAAGTTAATTAAGGCTGTTATGTTATAGTTAAGTTAAAAGTAAGTGTATAGTAACTAAAAGTGTTTAAAAGAGAATTAGTCTATATTTTCTTTAAGTTTATATTAAAGCTTATATAAAAAAAAGGTAAGTCTTTTTATTTTTTATTAAATAGTAGGGGATTAGAGAGTTAGTTAGATTTTATTACTAAGTTAGAAAAGTTATAAGTTATAAGTAGTATTAGGTAGAAGAAAGTTAAGCTATCTCTAGACTTTTAAGTAAGCTTTAAGGCTAGTAAGTTTTTAGTTTCTACTACTATAATAAAAGTTAAGGTAAAAATAGACTACTTAATAATATAAAGCTGTTTTTTAAAGTTTTTTTAAAAAGCTTTAAAGCTTATAATATAGTAGCTTTTTTATAAAGTAAGCGCTTTTTAAAAAGCTTCTTAGCTTACTTTAATAGCTTAAAGTTATATAAGTACTAAGCTTATTAGATTAAATTTAAAGGCTATTCTTAGCTAAAGTTTTAACATAATATAATGTTATAATTATGCATAAGTAAGGTTATAGAGCTTTATAGAGGTCTAGTTTAATTACTACATAAAGTATTATAGTAGGTATAAGATGTTATGTAAGAAATAAAAAGGTTTAAAAGAAAATTAGTAATTAAATACTTAGCTTAAAAGTCTAAGCACTTTAAGTATAAATTAAGCCTATTTTAGGTTTAGTTAGTGTTAAGGCAGTTTATGCTTAAGTTTATGTCTATGTTGTGTTATGTTTATGTTAGACATGCACTAATAATACTCTAGTACGCGTCTAATACAGTTATGTCTGGGATCCGGGGAGGATACTGTAACAGAGGCGATGATGTTAATTAGAACGCCTAGAGGGCTAGCCTTACACTACTTATTAAGAAATGCTTTTTTCTCTTTAAAATGCTTTTTTATATTCTTAAACACTTTATAATTTTTACTAAATATAATTTATTAAGCAGTAAAGTTAATTATATAGTAGGCGCAACATAGTTATTAATAGTAGAGGTTAAAGTTATATTTAATAGCTAAGGTGTTAATTATAAAGTTATTATTAGTAGTGTTATTAAAAATAAAGTAACTTAAGTTATATACAGAAATTTTAAAGCTCTTAAGTATAGTGTTAATAATAGTAGTAATATTAACACTTATATGCTAGTCTATTAATAAGAGCAGGCTAAGTATGTAATTATAAGGCGCGCTGTTGCAATTAAGGTGGTGTACATAGATTCTTATAAGTGCCTACTTGCTACCTGTTAATGTCTAATTATTAAGAGAAATGTGTATAGCTAATTATGTGTTATAAAGATAATTAATAATAGTAGGCACATATAACTTGTACTCTGCAATTATATAAGCTTATAAGGTGTTGTAGGACCTCTACAGCTCTGCCTTAGCTAACAAGTTAGCTTACTGTAACATAGCTTAAAAAGCAGCGCCCTTAATTATAAAAAGCGCCTAGTTATTAGCTACTACTTAGTTAAGCACTAATTATAAAAAGTTTATACATAAAAAGCTTTTTATAATAAGGTTAGCAACACTCTAGAATACCCTAAGGCCTTTATAGTAAAGGTAGGCAAGTAGGGAGGATTGCTAGAAGGGAGTTATAACGCAGAAAGTAGCTTTTAGGCTATTCTTATTAACACTGTAGCTAGCCTTACGCTTAGTAAGATAGCACATAATTAACATAGTTAATAAATTAGCTTAATAAAACTTATTAAAGTGCTTATAATAGTAGTAATAGCAGTAGAGCTAGTATAAGTGTTATTACTTATAGTGCTAGAGGTAATACTTATACTACTAAACTTAGCTTTTTTAACTACACTTTACTATATAAGCTAGCTTATAATAATTAAGTAAACATGTCTATTTAATGCTCTTATACATGTTATTATTATTATTATTAATGTTAGTAGTAGAGGGGGTGCCTTTTATAAAGCTTTTATTAGCGTTAAGCTTTAACAGTGTGTTAGTAGCTAAATTAGTAGAGCTATTTTTAAAAGTAATTTATAAGGCTACACTTTTAAGCTGCTAGGTCTAGACTTTTATAAAGTTACTATTTATACCTTCTAAATAATTAGGCAACGCTATATTAATAAAGAGAGGCGTTAGTAGGGTAAAAGAGGTAGTAGAGGCAGGTAAGTTAGTAGGCAGTAGAAGTTAAGAAATTTTAGATATATAGCACTAAGCCTAGTTAAGCAACTATTACAACTTTAAAGTCCCTTAAAGCTAAGCTGCCTTATACTATATTTACTACTCCTGCACACTAAAGAATTTTATATTCTTTAGTAAACTTAAGATCTTAGAGATTTAAGTCTATTAATTAAGTTAATTAAGTAGGCATAATTAAGTAGGCATAATTTACTTAATTAACTTAGTAAATTTTGCCTAGCTAATTAACTTAATTAATAGCTGTTAATTAAGTTAATTAAGTTAAGTTATTAAGTTAACTTAATTGTTGCTAACTCTACTCTTTGCTTGGACAGGAGCTTGTAATTTCCTCCTTGGAAGGCCATATCCTAGCCCATGGAGTTTGAGAGTGAGCTCCTTTGTTACTAGGGAAGGTATATAAATGCTCTGACCAATCGCTTTCAGGGTTGTAAACCAAACATTACAAAGATAGGTAGGATTGAAGTTCCTTCGCGCTTTCCTGATCTATACTTAAAGCAGCTGTGACAACCTTGCACACCCTAAACTTTACATTTATCATGCTTATAGGGCTCAAATCATCTCACGCATAAACGAGTAGTGGAGCCTCTAAAAGAACGACGTATGGTATATCCCTGGCCCACCTCCCGAGACATAATTAATGCCAGCCCAGCCAGTATACCAGAAGCCTCATTCGCAATTTGCACCACCTACATTAAATCCAACCCCACTAGCAACAGCGGCTCCCTTAAAGTCTTTCTTCATCCACCCCCTAAAAAAATTACGCCCCTCAGCAAAAGTGTGTTTAATGAGGGTCAGCCATATTCCCTGCTCCCGGGGAACATTCAACATAAGAGCACGTTTGATACCGTTGGATTTTACTTGTAAGCGTGCTGACACAGGCTACTAGCTCTGTATTTAGACAAGTTCAGCGTCTAAGTCGCGCGATAACCTTCCTATTGCAATCTTCAGATTTTAGCATAAAAGGAAAGACATACATGCCTCTTTTCGTACAAACACATTCCAGCCGCTAGCGCCCATTTTCCAGCCTTATTTCTATTAGCGTTATACTCAGAAGCATTTTGTAATACATATGCCTGACTATATCGACAATGAACTGTTGAGCACAAGGCAGACTACCCAAGCTTTGTTTTAGCTGCACCTATTCTACAAGCGTGTACGACGTTGGCCTCTTCAATTACCCCGGTTGCTTGCCTGCTAAATTCTCTATTTCCCTTGTGTGCTTTACCCCTAACATTAGAATTCCTTTGATTCTTATTCTTAAAATTGTGGTCGCTGCTGTCTTTGTCCTCGTCTAGACCAGTAATATTATAATTAACACCTTACCGGGTGGACTGTACGTATAGGGTTTCCAGCAGCATAATCCGTAGTCACCGCTTCACGATATCGAAATTCGACTAGCGAGTGCATAAAGCCATTTATGGTACTTATACCAGCGACTCACGAATAACTGAAGTCTAACATCACGTGACTTGGTAGATAATTTGCCCTGCATCACCAAATATGTCGCGTACAGCAATTAAAAGTTTTTGAACTAACGATGATGTTATCTCACAGCAGCAGAAGACCGCTGCCATCAACTTCGTAGATTTCAGCAACTGGCAGAGAGTAACATCTGTTGGCCCACAGTCTACATGATCGCTAGATCTGTAACTATTCCTACATTGCTTGTCTTAGCTCCCGAGATTGCTGCATTTGCATTTCTGAAAATTTGCTACCGCAGTCCTGAATTACACACCCTGGTCGTCGCTCTGCTGCCTAAGGCACTGTTTGAACTCCCTAGCGTTGACATATAGTTCCAGATACCTTCTTTTACTAGTGTTCCGGAGTATTGTAGCTTGTTGTGACGATCTACTCCTACTCTATGTCCCGTTAGAAAATGGCGTTGATTATCGGCTTGATGAAGAGTTAGCGTTCCGGCATGTCTGGTTTGGTGTTCTAGAGCCATTCTAATGAAACTGGGTTGTCTGGCCGGAGAAATTATTCTATGTAAATTCTAAGACTGTGGCTAGTTCATTAAATATTAAATGATCCCCCGTTGCTATTTTCAATATCTCAGTAAATCCCCTCCCCCAATCCTCTGGAACATACGCTTAAAGTCCGAGAACCGAATGAGATACTTGTAATACAAGCATAGGAATGACTTACGCACATCGTCTCCAATCCCTTGTATCCCGGAGGGACTCGTAGACGCTAGTATGTAAGCATCCGTTTCCCTATCCACGTAGATGAATTGCTGAAAATAGAAACGTAAGATCTATTGCTAAGAAGTTTTCGGCTCCACAAGGTATGACTTACCCTACATGCCTACAAACTAGTCTGTATATTGTTCGATTTTATCACTTCCTCGCTATTCTCACTATTTCCTACAGCTTCCCTCACTACCTCTTTAGTGATATAGACATTTCCTCTCCTTACTTAAGGTCGTCGCTCAACGATATTTTTGGTGTCTTAAACAAGCAGATTAGCCTTCCTTTCTAGGAAGAAGTGGGCTAGTCCTAATTAGGAATAATTACGTAACAGCTCGCTTACGCGCACAGCTGCCACAATAAACAATCTAACCAACCTAGCTTCACATCTCCTCCTGCCACGCCCACTAACCCACCTAACTAGGGCAGTGCAACCTTACTAGCTAATTCTAAACTGCTAAGGACACTATAGGTACATATTTTACTTTATCTACATGTTTTAGGTTAAAATTTAATTAGAATAGCCTTTAACACTCTTTACTTACTTTTAATGCAGTAGATTATGTCTAATAATGCTATAATAACACTAAATAATAACTAGTTATAACTTAATAATAAGCCTTTATTACTAAAGATTAATACTAAGGTTATTATTAATTTCTAAGGTAAAGGCCTAACTAAAGGCTAAAACCTCTTAGCTAAAAAAGCTAGTACTAATAGTAATAGTAAGTTTTACTTTACATATGTTATAATTTAAAGCTAATTAAGAAAAATAAAAGCGCTAAATAATAATAAACCTACTTTATTAAATAATATATTATTAAGACCTACTTTTTTGCTTTTTATACTTAATATGTCCTAACTAGAAGACACGTAGTCTTACCTAAGTCTAATAGCATTACAGGCAGGACTAAACTAAATAGTGCCTGCCTGCGCCTTTAGCTAGACTAGACTATATAGCTTATAAGGCAGCTAAGATTAAAGCTAGTAATAGTATAGTAAAAGTGTAAGTAAATTTAGATTAATCTAAATTAATATAACTTAAGAAAAAATTAAACTAATAATACTTTTTTATAGCCTACTTTTACTTATATTTAACCTATATCTAGCTATAGAGAATATTAGCAGTAATTTACCTGTTAGCTAAGTTGTAGACTATATCTGCTACTGTAAGGTCTATATCTACAGGCCTAGGGTTAATATCTGCAGGCTTAGGGTCTGTACTAGAACACCTAGTAGCTTTAATATAAAGCACCTTTATTTACTTTAGGCAGACTGTACCCTTTCTAGTAGCAGTTTATGCTACTATATTTCTAGTATAGCTATTATAAATGTGGCATAGGTTAGGCTCTGCCTACTCTAACCCTAATTATTTTACTTTATTAAATAGATTTAGCTAAAGCTAGGTTAAAGCTAACTAAAAGTAAAAAAAAAAAAAAGATTATATTTTAGCTTAAACTTTTAAGTAGTAAATTTAAGCAGTTTAACTTTTTTATAAAAAACACTAATTTATATAAAATTATTAATTTAAAGCTGCTATATAAAGGGGTCTAGACTACTATAAAAATAATAGAACTTTTTAGGCGCCTAATAAACCCTAAGTTTATAAAAGATTTAAATATAAAAGTTATAACAGCTTATTTAAAGTTAGTTAAAATGTAAATAAATTAAATTATTATAGTGTATATATAAGTTAATTTTTTTTAAAATAGCTTTAACTTAGTTCTAATTAAAGTTACACACTCTAAAGCAGCTAAGGCACTAGTAGCCTTTATAGTAGGTTAAATCTTATAAGATCTTTGCTAGAAATGCTTAAAAAAAAATAGTAAGTTTATTTACTATGTATATATTCTTAACTATTTTAGCTATAGTTATGCAAATTATTACTATAGTATAAAAAGTAAAAGTTATAATTTTTAAAATAAGTTATTTTTTTTTTTAAATAAAATATACCTAGATACTAATATATATTAGTAAATTAAACTAAATTTATTAAATAAAATAAAGTCTATTAGCTAAAAAAAAAAAAAGTAATACCTAAAAATATTACTACCTCTCTAAAAAGCATCCCTACTCTGTAGAAGAGTCTAGCTGTGCTAACATCTACTCTAACACTAAAAGGGCCTAGATTAGCTTTAACTAAGGTAGATCTAAGCTTTTAAAAAGCTACTTTAGTTTTAATTTATAATAAACTTACTATTTTTTATAATCTAGTTATAGCTTTTATAATTAACTTATTTAGTTACTAAGTTCTAAGAACTAGAGCCTAGCCTATATAGTAAAATATGTATATAGCTTTACTAATTATAATTAAGTTATTTTAAAAAGTAATTTTTATAAATAATAAATTACTATAGTCTTAGTTTAGTTAGGTCTAGAACTAGATTAAAGATATAATAGAACTTATAATAAATAAGTGCATAGAACTTAGTAAAGTAATATAGTCCCTATTATTCTAGTTTAACATAGTAGTAGATGTTAGCATAGCTTTTAATGCTAAAAAGGGCCTAGCTAATAGTAATAAAGAAGAGGTAAAAGGGCTTATAGATAACACTAACATAGCTAAGAGTTAATTTAAAGAAGATAAGAACTTAGAAGATACTAATAATAAAAAGTTTATAGCTACTAATAATATAAAGGTTTCTACTAACACTTTTTTAAGTTTTAACTTTTTATTTATTAAAAAAGTTAAGACTTAATTAGCTATAAAATAATTTTATAATAAACACTTAATCTAGTTAAAGTTAAGTAATATTAGAAAAAAAAAAGTTAAGACTATAGTAAATAATCTAGGCTGCACTAATATAACTATCCCTGTAAAAGGCACACTAAAAAAAAGAAAATTTTTTAAAAAGTGTAAGCATAGGCTTAATAATTATTAGTATTTTTTTTAGACTAATTAAAGTAGACCTTAAAAGCATTAAGTAGAGTTAGTAGAGTTGCTTTTAGTTTACTAAGTTTAGATAGTTAGTTTATTTTCTAGATAGATGTAAGTTAGTGTAGCAACAGTTTGCTCTAGCACTACACCTACTAATGCTTTTTTTGCTAGAGTTAATAGATTAACCTTATAATAATATACTTACTATATAAAAAACAGTGTTTATAATTTTATAATAGGTAGCTAATATAATTAGATTATAGGCTGCACATAACTATTTTTATAATAGATATAAAGTAAATTAGTAGCTATACATTATTAAGACTTTTAAAAAAATAATGCTAAAGCTTAAAACTTTAAATACTTATAAACTTTTTTAACTTTTTAAAGTAAGTAGTATTTTTATTAATTTAATTAGTAAAATGTTTTTTTTACTTTTAATATTAATTATCTGCTTTTCTTTTCTAACTAGACTAGTGCTAATAAGCCTAATTTATGCGCCTAATTACCTAATAACAGATCTACACTAATTAAAGATCTTATAACATGCTACTATTATAGTAGCTTGTAAAAAAAAGAGGAGTAGAACTAAATATTAACTTTATTAAAAGTAAAAAAGTATTTTTATACTTTAGCTTATAATCTTCTAGTAATAACTAAAGATGTTGTGCTAATAAATAACATATAAAGCATTTAAGATTATAATAAATTTAGAGTATAATTAGAAAAGATTAAAAACTAGTTAAGATAATATACTTAATAAGCATTAAGCTAAACTTAATAAAAAAAGTTTTTTAATGTGTACTATTCTTCTAACTTTACACACCTATGCCTTAGCTAAAGAGTATGCTAGAAATAAAAGTTAAGCTTAAAATATAAGTTTTTTAGTTTAACTACTTTAGTATTATAAAACATAAGCTTTAGAAGCTTTATATTATAGTTCTACATATAAGGTAGATAAAATTAGGTAGCATCTAGTAGATTACCTACTACCTAACTATAAACTAGTCTATCCTAGAGCAGCCACTCCTAGACAACAGTAGAGGGGAACTACATCTAGGACTAAAGCTGCCCTAGATAGGGCAGGTAGAGGCTGTAGTAATAGCCCTACTAATGCTAATTTATTACACTTTTATTATTAATAAAAGGCTAGTCTAGGTTATAGTTAAAGTTAAAAAAAGAATATTATACTTAAGCAGAATAGTAAAAGAATAATAAAGGTTTTAGTTCTATAAAAAAATTAGCTTATATAATAAAGTAGCATAAAAGCAGCTTATGTTAAAGTAGGTGTAGCTAATACTCTTTTTCTCTTGTCTAGTTAGACTATAATTAATGTAAGTAAAGTAGGTAGTTATAATGTAATGCTAATTAAGCATTTTTTAAATAAACATTTGCTACTTAATACTTAGCATAATAGCTATAAGCCTAATAGGCTCTTTATGTACAGAAGAGTTAGAAGGCAAAATAGCCCTAGCAGATGTGTACATAAAGAGTAACATAGCAAGCAGATAAAAAGTAAAATAATAAAAAGTATAATATAGTAAGTAAAAAGTAAGAAAAAAGTATTATAGTAGATTAAAAAAAATTAAACTTAATTTAAAAGGGCTAAGGCTAGATTTGTTATTACATAAAGCTAAAACTAGATTTCTAGGGGCACTGCCTAAAATAGGATAGCGCAGGACTAATATAATTATAATAAAAGCAGACATTACTAATAGAGCAAATATAGTAGTAGGGCAGAAATGTACATGCACTGTATAAAGCAGTCTATAAAATAACCTTAGAATACATAATATTAACTACCTTGCCTATTAAACTAGGCAGAATTAGAATAAAGATGCTAGATACAGTAGTAACACGTAAAAGGGCTACATATAACTAGCTATAAGTAAAGATAAAATGTTATAGGTTAACACTAATAATCTTAAGTAACTAACCTTGTAACTTATTAATAAATATAGTAAAATAAAGTTAGACTAAAATCTAATACTAAATAATTAAAAAAAGTAAAGCATTATTATTTTTAGATACTAACTTTATATGTGTAATTATTTAGATCTAATTATTAAACTTACTGCTAAGTATTCTACTAATAAAGAAAAGCGCTGTCTAGCTAACAGCAGTAACTATAAGACATATGCTGTTACATAATCCTTACCCTAAATCTAGATTATGTAAGAGTATAATAAAAACACTAACCTTTAGTTATAAAGTAGATAAAGAGAGGCTAAGTAGATTAAAGCTTTAGAGTAGGTTTTCTAGTAGTTAATTAATTTTATCTAAGAAAGATTAGTAAACTTTATTAGTAAAGTAGAACTTTATTATAACACCTTTAAAGCGCTTAAATAAAAAGTTATTTAGAAAATTAATAGTATTATTTTAAACTACTAATATACACCTTTACTTTAATAAAAAAGTATAGACTTTTAAGTTAGTAAGTTTCTAAAGTAGATTAAGTAGATAAATGTAGGAATAAAATATAAATATAGACTAAAACTGCTAGATTTTAGGAAGAAGTGTAATAGACTTTTTATTACACTTAGCTAAGTCTAATATCTACTAAGCATATTCTTAGTTAGCAGGTTTCTGCCTTATTTTTATATTCTCTGTTAGCTGTAGAATAGTAAAGTATAGCTATAAATAAAAGTTCTAAAGGTAGGCTTATATAGTCTGTAACTTTTTACTGCGCAAAATAATAGAAAGGATCTAGGCAAAGTCTTCTTCTAACAGCACTAGAATACCTCTAAATAAGGAGTTGTTTTTTATAATATCTTATAGTGTATAGTTAACTACTTTAAAGTAGTACTAGTGCTATATTAAAACTTTATTTTATATAATTAAATCTGTCTAATAAATAAGGTCTGTAGTAGGAGAGTTTGTACATATAAAGCAGGTAGATTTGTTTTTAATATTAATAAGTATCTTAAACTAATAATAAGCAGTGCAGCTGCTAGAAAGAAGGAGCGCAGCAATGCTAGATAATACTACGCACAAAACAATCTTGCATTAGGTCTAAAAATA